AAGCATGCAATCGTATGATGTGTAAGTTACAGAGAACAAGCTCGCACTTGGAGTACAATAATGGTTTGAGCTTAGGCTGACTAAGCTGCACGGATACGTGCTACCAACACATGCCCAGGACTAGTCCCCTGGTGATTGTGTATCTCAACGAAGAACTTTTTATCAGTGGTTCTTAGCAAAAGAAAGGTGATTAAAGTGTGCCATCCTTAAGCCGTGCTGTCTGGAGCTCCTTTTTACCTGTACATGTAGTATTGAGTATCTCATAACGTGTAGCTTAGGGCCCGTTCACCTAAAAATTTCCGTTTTGGAGGCTCCGTTTCGGTACTCCGTTTCAGGGTGCCAAAACGGAAGCTAGCAAAACCGGGCTTGGAAGCCGGACCGGTCGTTCACCTATGAAGTTCCGTTTCGCTTTTCATCTCCGTTTCGCTCCGTTTCTCTACCTTTGACAACAAAAACGCCACCAGTTGGCAGTGACTCTTACTGATTTTGACGACTGTGGTAACAAAGGCAATTACATACTCCCCTATCATCATCCGCCATGGGGGAGTTTGTCAGGGAGGCCGTGGCGGGAGGATCGTTTTTGAGGATGTTTTGGCGGGGAGGGTGGTGGGGGTGGTTTTTAGTTGTGGGGATATTTTTGGCGGTGGGGATGGTTTTTGGTGGTGAGGATGGTTTTTTATGATGGAAATAGTATTCAGTGGAGAGGATGTTTTTTGGTGGTGGAGATGGTTTGGTGATGGGGGTGGACGAAACGGACGCAAAAAGGACCTCAAGAGGTCCTTTTCAAATTTGCCATTTTTGTCCGTTTTGAAAGATGAAACGGAAGTTAGGTGAACACTGACTTTTGACAATCTGTGCTTCCGTTTCCATCAAAACGGAATAGTCCCAAATTTGTGTGGTGAAACGGAACGGAAGCCGTTAGGTGAACGGGCCCTTAAAAAAACGGCTCGGGACAACTATCGCCTAACAACAGGCTGATGTAGTTATATTGATCTGTAATTATTGTTAAACTACCGTGGCACGCGGTACGATCGGATTAGATAACGAGTGGGCTGGGCAAGAAACAACTGTGATCACTCGTGTGACATCATGTATGATCACTCGTCACAGTCAGCGTCCTGTCTTGTGCAGTGAATCCGTAGCGTGTTGGCGCAGTAAAAAGAATATCAAAATATCACTTAATGTTTTACTTAGGGCCTGTTGTGACGGTTGAATATGCTTGAGTCAAGACGCAAACGCAAAAGCTGTTTGAGAAAGAGCTCTAGGCCTGTGGAAGCGGTAAAGCGAGTAATCGCAAGCAGAGGATATTCCTAAGCATGAAAGCATGAAAGAGTCAAAGAGCTTCACTGATGCCCTTTGTCATAAGAATTTATCAAAGTTAAACATACACATTGGTGATAAATGGCGCTGGATTCAGTTATCATCACTCGCCCGCAAGATTTGATGAACGTTCTTCTCTATTCTCCCCATCTATGGCAATCAATATATGCACCACCCCACGACAGTTCTAGTTTTGTATCCGTCATCGACCCTATCCCATCCCATCCCTTCCCCTCGCCATCCCATCCCATCTCTCCATATATACATCAAACAACATCCTCCACGGCCAAACCACTCCGCTGAATACTCTCAGCCCTTCGATTCTCTTCTTCTGTAAGGTCCATCAAACTGGGGCTCGGGCGTCGTGTACTCGGCACGCTGGGTGTTAGAATCTGCGGGCCTGTGATCTCCTCTAGGTCGAGTGCTACAAGATTACAGTAGCGGTCGAGGTCAAGATCGTTAGGGCCTTCGCCCCAAGGCTTTTTAAAGTCAGCCCGGTCCCATACCTACATCGCTTGGGGGAACTTACATTTTCAATCTCTAACCCAATCTCGGCCAGTGCAAACAGCGCATAAGCCGTCACCACCGTCACCGCAACACTCCACCACCTTAGCTCCCGCCATAGTTGCGAAGGCAAAGCAAACACAAATATCCACACAATTCTACTAATCGCAATATTATACCCTAGTGGAATTGGCGTGCGCAACAATCGCTCACATGCGCTCACCACGCTCGTCAGCCCGTCGACATGTGTTAGCAGGTGGGTAAGGACCTGCGTATCGATCTTCGTGCTAACTCGCACACGCTCAATGTACCGCGACAGGTGCACCGTGAGTAGCAGAGGGTGGTTGGTGGCAGCATAGTTGTATTCCGGGATCAGCGCAAGGAGTTGTTTTAGTTCCGTGCATTCCGTGTCCCAGTCGCGTTCGCCACGGAGGTGGTGTTTGAGCGCTACTGTGAGGATGTGTACGCTGCGCACAGCCAGTATCTTGTCGTGCAGCGCATCTTCGGGGCTTGAATAAAGGCTGCCCGGGACGGGGTTATCAGGAACGTGCAGCCAGATTGTCCTTGTAATGGAGCGGGAGAGTGCGGAGAGCTTGTCCCACTGTGTTCGGCCCTCCCACCAACGTGCATATGAGGACTGCATGCGGAAGGTGATGGCCAGGCCGACGACAAAGCTAGGATTACGTGGTCAGTCCTGTAGCCGGTAACGAAGCTCTAGAGGAGAACACACCCAAATACCGGGAACAGAATCGGCGAGTGCATCGACATGCCGAGAAAGTGCGAGGTGCAGCAGACGCCGACGGCCATTAGAGCTGACACTAATAGCTGGAAAATATTTAGTAATAGCTATAGAGCATGTTTGCTGGTGGTAAATGAACCTGCGGCATAATCTTCAGAAACACCCCACCCTTTAGACGCAGTGAGTATGGCACCCACCGTTCCTCCTTCCGTCGCTGTCGTTGGTTGGTATGCCATTGCCGCAGAGACCGGTACGGATGGTGGTGCTGGCTCCGCATCTTTAATCTCGAGCTTTGTCTTCAAAGCTTAACGTGAACATGCGTTCCCGAGTATACGGTTGGCGGTTCAGATCCTTTTGAGAGTCGACAGCGTCGGGTGGGTGTGTGGACGGGTTTGGTATGAACGTAACGTGGAATATGTATATGCGAGGCTGCACTGCAACGCCGTTGAAATCTGGGGAAATTAAATAAAAATCCGTCTGTCGAACGGTGCTGCAGGTTGGCAACCTTTCCAGACGTTATATATTGCCTGATTTTTCGGATAATTCCGGGGTTAGGCAGAAGATGCGCAGCCCGCTAGTACTAACAAGGCGTGTCCGGGGGGCGTGAGCATTGAAAAATGACATGTGAGTTGTATGTAGAGAGAAAAATATCTCGGACTTTTTTTGGGATGCAGGCATGTTGTAAGGAGGGAGTTTCGGCCCATGTTCGACTCCATTAAAGAAAGCGTTGTAGCAGCCAGATAGAGTGCCACTTCAAAAAACTGGGTGGCAATCTATTCAGACCCATGATAGTAGCATCATCAATTCGTCAAGTTTCTGTTAAGTTTTTATGTATTTTCGCAGGCAAAAATGCCGCAACCCGAAGCTGATGCAATCTTTGATCCGCAACGTGTGCATCAGGGCAAACACAGCGTCTCAGCTCATTGAGGATTGATGGGCTTATGGATTAGGAAGTTCTCGAATGAAACGCCCGTTTCAAACAGTGTTTGTAAATGCCACGTGACCTATCGAATCGCCAATGTAAGGAAGATCCTAAATTACTGAATAGAGTACCGATAAACGCGTTTGATAGTAGCTGCCCACTAACACGTCCGATATGTATCATTTTTAGAATTATATCTTAGTGCCCCTCGGCGGTGAGTGTTGAACTATTGGTCTGGTTGATCTAGAATTAGATCTCCGACACCCCCACATACACGGCGCCCTATCATTCGGCAGCCCTACAAACTATCCGATAGACAATGTCAGGGTTCGATCAGTATTGATTAATGATTGTTTGAGCATCAGGTAGCGATAAACCACAGGCAATCAACATCCGCGGGCTTTGTTTGGGGTGATTTTCATCTGATAGTCGACCGAAGCTAGGCTAGGAAGCCAAAGAAGAAGTTCACGGACGCCGTTTCGTCAGCTCTCGCGTAGCTATATACAGGGATCTACTCTCAATTGTTTGTCGGACAATATAGAGTATCATAGAGGGAGGGAAGATCCTGTCGGCGGATAGTGGTTAGAGACAAACACGGTTGAGCACATACGGACATCGTGAGACACGTTAATGCCGCATCACTAGAAGGTCATTGAAGATAGGTAAGAAAAAATCAGTATGAAAAATATTTCATGTGGCATCATCGATTGAGCTTGTTTGAATTAAGAGTTGTATCGAAAGTGTGGGGTGCATATAATGCAAATACGGAGACGACGTTGCTAGTGCTAGTTACGTAAACAGGGATTGAATCACTCGTAGGCATCTAGCTAGTCGTGCAAACTGAGCAAATCAAGCCTCCCGAAGAATCCCGACTCTGACATGACGATAGCAAATCTGGCTGCAAAATATGCAAACACAAGAAAATATGGTCTTCGACTGAATTACCGACATAAAACTGTGAACAAAGTGCTCCGTCATGTAGACTAGTGATCGATCGCGGTGAGTTCCTATCTTTAAGGAGACAATGTAAACCGCCGAATACCGGAGCGGTCGACAATTTGTCCACAAAGCGTCCTAACCACCCCTATTTTCTAGAGATTTCAGGGAAACGAGTGCTTAGACAGATAATTGCGTGACGTGCTCTCGGTATCTCTTTTTCTACTCTAAATATGGACGGGGCATATCTAAACTTTCTGCCCAATGGCACCGGCAACTCGAATAGTAAAACGTCTTGAAGCTAAGCCTTCCCGCTTCATTGTCCTGCTGCGAGTTAGTCGATCGACACGGGCACTGGACCCCGTTTCCTACATTTCATCAACTTGAGGGCCCTTAGGTGCAACAGAGAAACGACAAGAATGTATAAACCTTAGCTTCGAATACCTTGCTCCCCCGGTCAACTGGTTGGTTGGCGGATTCCAGTCACTCCACGGGTTGACCGAGTAGTCCGCCTGTCAACCAGGCGGTCTGCGGACCAGTATACTCCGCCGGGTGACCAGAGAACTAATTACATCAATAGGTCTGTTGGCTCAGTTGGTCAGAGTGTGTGGTGCTAATAACATCAAGGTCACAGGTTCGAATCCTGTACAGACTGCATGCTTTTACTACCTGTGATGTAAGTTATTTTCCTGAGATTATAGACAGATACATACTAGACACAAGCGTGAGAGCTGTGCGATACATACCCTGGGCACAAGATACTTGTGTAGTTTAATAGTTGCTTTTATGGGCTGACTATGTACTTTATGTGCTCATGGACATGGGCGATCCTCCGGATGGCAACTATTTACACATGATGCTGTGGCCATATAGTGATCGCTTGGGGATAACTTGTAGTCTATGAATACTGTTAGACACTAAGGTCTGATCGTATATGTGTAAGATATGGAGAGAGAGCAAAGCTCAGACTCGGAACATGAGCCCAAGCTAACTAAGGTGCGCGGACACATGACGCCAACAAATGTTGAGATGTTAGTGCTGTCGATTGGCAACACGTTCACAATAAGTTGAGCTCAATTCATGCATTTTTTTGAAGAATTCCCTACTGTTTAGAATATCCAACGACGCAACGCCCAATAATCAACTAAGGTGGTATATCATACATGAAAGAAAAGACTAGAATCCTCTGCCACGCTTAAAACATATCATATGTACAACCATCATCACGTGAACTGAGAAAAACATCTCTTTCACTCTGCAATTATTCACAATCAAAACGTAAATCGTATGCTGTATGCTCTGTTCATGAGCTTTTCTTTGGCGACCTTTTGAACATCCGCTTCAGGCCGCCGAGCCAAATCCACGTGCACACAAATACGAGCACAAAATTGAAGACAATAAACGCCCAGAACTGTTGTGTTGTTAGTTTCAAATATCCATGAAAATTATACTGTAGGGGTCTTACAATTCCAAAAGCTCTCCATCGGTGTCCGTAAAAAGAATTAAAGCCGGCGGCAAACTCATCACCTGTACTATACTGACAGAACTTGCACAAGCCGTCCGCCTCCTCCACATACCCACCGGCCATTTTTAGATAGCTGCCGACATACTCCTGGCAGCTTGTGTTTTGCGGTGGCGTAAATACTGCAAACTCCTTCTCTGCACAGCGCACCGGAACGTCGTGGGTTAGGACGCCCAGGAAGCCATCAAGGAGGTATGTGAACGGCGAAGTCCAGTACATCCAGCGACGCCAGAAGGTGGGGATCGCGAGATAGGGCACCACGACACCACAGAAGGAAACGACGAAGAGGAAAAAGAGTGGGACAAGTAACGAGGCGAAGAGCTCGTTCTTGGAGAAAGAAGCGATCGCTTGTCCAAAGCCTAGGTAGTAGAGCTCAAACATCATCATCAACATCCATGTGTAGCCAACGCGGAAAGAGTCGCGTGGGTAGCCAATTGGGAAGTACCAGGCTACAAAATAGACTGTGCCGGCAACGAGGCGGTAAGGAATTTCAACGAGAATAGCGGCGACAACGAACGACGACCAATGGTAGATTTTGCTGTTACTTTCCCGGGCTGTGAAAAGGTCACGGATGGCGAGGAACTTGGGCTGAAGCTGTTGAATGAGAGGCGGTGAGATGGTTAAGGTCATGAATATTGAGAATAGTCGTGATTGCATGTCAATACTGGTGTTCCCGAGTTTATAGAAAGTGAAACTGTTGAACAAACCGGTGAAGATGTGCAAAGCAAACAAACCAATGGTATATTCTGGTGTACGCCAGTAAGCAATGAACGTACGCTTGATAACTGCAATTGTCTGTGTCGACCATGGCATCGCAAATTCACTGTCACCCACGTTTCCTCCGTTGCTGTCTTGACGTTCATTGATAAACTGCTCGATTTCCTGCGAACGTCGCTGGTACTCTTCGGAGTTGAACCACACCTCACCCCAATCTTTCTCCTTGCGATTTGGATCACCGGCTCCGACAGCCTCAAGCATATACTCTGCTGGGTTCTTTTGCTTAGGGCAAGTGGGCGCGCCATTATTTTGAAAATACTGTATCATCGTCTGCGAATCTTTTCCAAGTGGGCCGTGATAAGCAACACTCCCACCACTCTTCAACAAAATCAATTCATCAAAGTGCTCAAACAATACTGCAGAAGGTTGATGGATAGTGCACAAAATCGCTTGTCCAGCATCAGCAAGTTTTCGAAGGAATCGCACAATATTGAAAGCGGCTCCAGAATCCAATCCAGAAGTAGGTTCGTCCAAGAACATGAGAAGCTCGGGTTTGCTGGCAAGTTCAACACCAATAGTCAAACGTTTACGCTGCTCTTGGTTGAGCCCAGTTCCGATGTCCCCAACGGTTGCTCCAGCAATCTCCTCCATCTCCAAGAGCTTGAGAATCGTTTCAACATATTCGTACTTCTCTTCGATGGATACTTCCTTGGGTTGTCTCAAAAGTGCAGAGAACCTTAGTGCCTCTCTGACAGTTGCTGTAGGTTCATGCACATCTTGTTGTTCAGCGAAGCCAGTGGCACGTTGGAATGATAGTGGCAAAGGCATGCCATTGACAAGGAACGTTCCGTCAACATCACCGAATGATATTCTTTGCGACAGTGTTGTCAAAAGAGTCGTTTTTCCAGCGCCACTCTCACCCATTAGTGCAGTTAATTTGCCTGGTCTGACATATCCTTGGACGTTGTTGAGAAGTCTCTTCTCTCCGTCCTTGGTAGGGATTTTGTAGGTGACATTTTGCCAGGTGAAAACAGTATCATTCTTGGCCACTCCTGAGGGCGTTTCGTCTGAGGTATGGCCATTGGTAGTCACGGGTTCTTTCTCAAGTGTCTCTTCATCTGATGGGGCCTTTCCATCCTTAAGAGCCTTATCAATGTGCGTAGGCGTCTGGCCTCTTTTGAAGACTGTCACAGCCGCTCCTCCTTTGTTAGGTTTTTGGAATTCGAGTCCAATTGCCGTCAAAGTGACAAAGAATAACCAGAAACCAATGATTATTCCTACGTTACGCCAAAGATGAGCTCGAGTGTATGTATATTGAGAAAAGATGTAATCTGCGCCGCTCACCATTGTCGATCCGGGTTTGCTTCCTTGAATTGCGCATGACTGGCTTTCCGGTGTAACACCAGGTCCAGGAGGAGGAATGAGATACGGCGGGACACACTGGATATCAAGGCCGTCAAACTCATTCGCCATCAACGCTTCAAATGCATACTGCACAGGATTAATCCATCGTAACCAGGAAAACCAAGGATGCATGGAACTAGGAGGGATTAGGTAGCCGGTGTAAACAACCAATGCTTGGATAGCCACACCAGTGAGTCTAGTAGCTGAGTCCAAGCTAGCGGAAAATGCACCAAGTGCTCGGAAGAAAGAATACATTGATAGCGTTAGGAAGTATGTGATCAGCAAGAATATGAAGAATTGAGATGCTGTTCTCCTTAAACCGGTCATGAAATAGATGATAATTGCCCAGAGAATAACCTGAACCGCACACAACGGTAGATCCGCGAGAACCTGTGCAAGGGCATATGCTGAAGGTCTGTAGAAGGAGAAGCTTTTGTGTTTTAGCAAGATTGGACGAGAGCTGAATGCTGAAGTGAGTTCTGCAAGCGCAAGAAGGGCGTTGAACAAAAGAGTAAAGAAGAGAATGCCGCCTCTCGGGAAAACACCAATGGCAGTTGGAGCAAGGTTGTAAAACAGGCTGCCCACAATAATTGACTGAATACTGATCCCAATCCACTTTCCTCCTAAGCTCATTGGATCCCCTCGCATCACCTTGAGCTGACGCACTGTACAAGCAAATACTTGCTTGTGAAAAGGAATGGTGTAATTCTTCTGTTTTGTGGCCTTCGATGTCTGCTGTGCACGTGCCTCTTTCTGCTCTTCGAGTGATGATTCAAACTCTTCAATATCTGCCAGTATTTTCTGGGCGATATGTGATTCTCTGTAGGTGTTTTCGAAGTCTTCTGCGGTTCGTGGAATGCGATCCTCCCACCCAGGCTTAACATGACGCTCATGGGGATCAGTTACAGATGTTAGAAAGTCTGCCGTTGTCCAGCGAGGTGGGCATTCGAATCCGATTCCCTCGAAATAGGCCTTGGCGTCTTCCGTGAATCCGAAATATGCACACCTACCCTCATGAATCAGGATGACTTTATCAAATAAATTGTATAATGTTTCGCCGGCTTGGTATAGAGCAACAAAAGTTGATATGTTGGTCATATTAGTCAGGGTCCGTAGCGAACTGACATATTCCAGTGCTGTGCTACTGTCAAGACCTCTAGTTGAATTGTCCCAGCATTGACAAGACGCTTTGGTGATCATAGCCTCGGCAATAGAGACACGCTTCTTCTCACCTCCGGAAACTCCACGGATATTGGTATCACCAACTTTCGTTCCAAGGGTGTGCTCAATCCAAAACAGCTTGCTGACGGCTCGCAGAAACTCTCGTACATATTCTGCACGCGATTCTCCCTCTTTCCGTGAGTCTTTTCCGGGCGTACGGGTCTTGACGGCAAACGAAAGGGTGTCTTTGACCGTCAAAGTTGAGTAGTGCAAATCTAATTTTATAATTAGTAGACGCCGAGTGTGGTTTCACGATGTATCACTCACCATCCTCAGGGTTGTACAGAATCTCGCCCCGAAAGTTCTTCTCCATCACCTGATGGCCTTCTCCTCCATATGTAACATCGCCACTGACTTCTTCAAATCCACTCCTTTGGTTCGCAATCACCTTGAGGAACGTTGAACATCCACTTCCGGGACGTCCCAGAACCAACAACATCTCTTTCGGCTTCACGCAGCCAGTGAACCCATTTATCAAGGTCCGCACCGGTGTTTTAGTAAATGCATTGCCTGTGAACAAGTTTCTGATCCCCCTAAATGGACCCGAAAAGAAGTCCGAGTTTGTTGGTTGTAAGCTTGCTCCAAGGCCCTGTCCCTTCACTGTCAAATCCCGAAATACCACACCAACATGGCGGGTCTTTTCCTCCTCCGAGCCCTTCTGCCGGGCTGTTCCAAATATCGTGGAAAGTAGCCGTTCAATCTCGTGGTTTTCTGGGCTATCCTGATCCTTGACAGTGCCGCTTTGCGACTTACGGCGTGAGAGAGACCGAATCAGGTCATCAGAGATCTCA